TCCCTGGCCTTTGACCTCTCCTCATCAACACCCTGGCTGTGTTTGCCTAGGGCCTCTGGCTCTCTCCACCCCTCTGTCAAGCACAATTGTTCCCTTGGGGCTTGTGGGCCTGGGCCCCCAGGGTGCCAGGCAAGGGCTCTTTAAGCTTGAGTACTTTCCCCCAAATTTGAATAGTGAAGACTTGTTTTGCATTTTCTTCATTTTCAGTGTAAACAGTAGAACAAGCTCTCTGAGGATGTGGTCAAAGCATTTGAAGAATGTGCCTGATTTTTCACATTAGTAGAATTAAGTGTTTTTATTTTAAGCTCCTTTAGAGTCTCTCCCACAATTTAGCAAACATTCTCAGAGGGTTTCCAGATCCCGGAAGACATTTTAGACTTAAAAGTGTGAGTTGATGATCATAAAGAGTTAATGGTGAATAACAGCCATCCACGTGGAGTCCGTATTGAAATGTACCCATGTTTTTTCACTTCCAAAGGGAGTGAGTAGGGAAAATTTATGAGGAAAGGTAGAGAGAATCGAAGGTAAATAGGCATCAGTTCACATTGTACTCCTTACATAAACTTCAGAATCTTTTCACTCTGGTAACAAGTTAAGATTTTAAAATGCCAGCATATTTTTTCTCTTATGTAAATTTTAAACCAAGCTTAAGTTTTCCACATTAGAGACAAATTGAAGTTGAGGGGTCCAATACTAAACACAAGCTGGCCGGTGTCATTAGGAGCATTCTGAAAACATATCTGACATGCAGAGTTCAATTTGTGAGCCAGGCATTGTTCTAGGCACTTGTAGATAATATCTCATTTAATTCAACGATTTTCTAATTCGTCTTTCACATAAATGGACTGTCTTAGCATTCATTTAGACAAGTTACTGAACAAGGAGGTAGGTACATCCATTGACGTCTTTTCCTCTTTCTGAATAGTTTCTTTAGTGACCAGGAAACTTTGACATTTTTGGAAACAAATTTCAGTGCCATCATTTCTGTGTGTTTTGAGGAATGGGGAAGGGAAGTTACAGAATGTGGTGGGAAAATGTGTGTTTTTGTTGCCTGAGGACGAGTGATTCAATTCTTCCATCCAAGAATGAGTGATTCAGTTCTTCCATCCCAGGAAGATCTGATTGCCTTTTCTTGGGTTGTTTGTAGATCAACATCCCTCAGATAATATCTTTCAAAATCAGGGATTTGAAAAGTCACCCTTTATAATTTCCTGAAGCCACTTAATGTCTAATTTCTTCATGTCTGTTAGGTACCCTGAGAAGAGCCTCATAAAATGTGGCAGCTAAGGCTGTTTTAGACCATCTGAATGCCTGTGTTCCCTCACCAGAGAGAGAAATAAAAAGCAGATTAATTTTGATTTTCTGTAGTACTTATCCTGGTGAATCTGTCTTCTCAGCAAGTTCCTGCCCCCGTTGTTGGCACTGACTTGGACTTGGTGTCCCTTGTGTCTTTTTCTTATTGAAGCTCTTCCAGAGGCAGATCACAAGGAAGTGCCAGAAGTTCCCAGAGAGCTGTTTCTCCAATCTTCCTATGCTCCAAGCACTACCAAGCTTATCTGCTTTCCTTTGAGGGAAGATAATAGTCTTAAAATTTGAGTGCTGAAAGAACCTTGGAGGTCACTTGTTCAGCCTAGGGGAGCCCTAGTGGCATAGTGCTTAAGAGCTCTGCTGGTAACTAAAAGGTTGGCAGTTTGAATCTACCAGGTGCTTCTTGGAAACCCTATGGAGCAGTTCTGCCCTGTCCTATAGGTTCGCTATGAGTTGGAATTGATGGCAATGGGTTGTTCAGTGCTACCTTTTATAGATGAGAACCCAGAAAGGCTCTAACATTCCTAGGCTGCTTAGTAAAAGCAAGTCTGGAGCTCAGGTATCCTGACTCCTCCCTGTCGAACGATCTTTCCTCTATTTCACACGTGTTTTGGTGTGTACAGATGTGTATTGGGGGTCCTCAAGAGAGGCACAAGATCAGTGTATTGACTCTGGCAGTTACAATTAATAGGGCAGTTACAGTATTATCCCTGGCTCAATTCCACCGTTGCCCCCACCCCTGCCACCAGTGCGTCCATACACTCCTCCTCCATTTCAGTTTCCCTTTCAGATGTTCCCTCCCCCATCACAGACAAGCTGCTAATAGACCATAATTTTCTACCTGTTAAAAACTCTGTGACCCAAAATAAGTGTCTATTCTAGAAAACAAAACAAAACAAAAAAAACCTTCATTTTTTCCTGCTACCTTCAAAGTGCCTAGAAGGTGAGCCATTTGCTGGGGCAGGCCCTAGGCTGCCCTGGAGGCATTCTCTTCCAGAAACTGGCTTGACTTTGCACAGTCCCTTCTCTTCCTTTTATGGTTTTCATTCTTACCCTTTTGCTCGACTCTGTAGGTGGAGCAGCATTTGGCAGATAACCCATGGCTGCCTGATCCAACAGGTAAAGAAAAGCAAACAAGTCAGTCAGGACCTGGTCACCAGCCACCAGCCTCCTTCTGCTCTAGGTGCAGACACCCCTGAGACATTTATCCTGACAGAGAACTTCCAAAAAAGAGAACTTCTGAAACCCAGACCCTAGAGCAGATTCCTTGAAATGGGGGTGATCGGTAGCTAAGCCACAGGGCTAAGGAGACTTCTTTTTCCCACTGAGGAGAGGAGTGCATAGCTCTCAACTGATTTTCAAATGGCTTCTTGATGCCCCCACCCCCACCCCAAAAAAAAAGATCTAAACAATGCCATGCCTCGTATTTTTCAAGCAGGTCTTGTTCTTGGAATTCAAGTCTGCTCTTCCTGCCATGTGGTATTGCATGGCACCCTCCTT